TTTTTTGCACTCCTATTCAAGAGGGATGCCTTGAATAGAAATAGAGTTCCAATAAGCGGTCTTATGTTATTTAACAAGTAAAACATTTTCATCACATGAGCACATACTACCTAGAAATGTATGAAAATCCTTATTATACCATTGATATGCAAGCTACCTTATATTTACTTAGTAAATTTGGTTTTTTTTTTTGGAGGGTTGGGTTGGATTATAAGTGGAGAGGGAATTCTAGAAGGATGTTCTGGATTCAAGACTTTTAACTTATTAAAAATAAAAATAAAAAAAGAAGAAGGTGTCATTTATATATCTTAACCAATGTTGCGGGGACACTTGCTAGAAAAATCCTTTTTATAAATAAAAAATAACAAATAAAAATTACTTTGACACTATACGATGCACTCTAAGTTTTTCTCTACTTTAGAATGTGCAAGTTTGTGATCATTAGTGTATGAGAGTTTAATTAAAAAAGAAAGAGTAGAGACTAAATATAATTTTGAAAAGGATGGAAAAAGTGTAGGAACTAGAAGCAAATAAAATGCAATTAATACTATTGGCAACTTGGCATATAAGGAAGTTATGAAGGAAAAAATAAGTGATCCCACAAAATTCCATCCCACTTTTTTTTTTTTATAAATATCTGCAATCACAATGTGTGTTTTCTCTTTTTTAAATTAAGGGGATATATATGGATGACATGGATAATTCATTTAAATCCACCAACATAATTGGGTTTAGATGGTTATCCATTTAAAACCATTGAATTTATATGGATCATCCAAATCCATTTAAGGTTGATTTATATGGATGGATTGGAGGATATTAATCCATTTTGCTGCTTCTAGTTGCAACAATCATAAAGCAAATTTTTATATAATTAAATTGATAATAGAAAAAGTTACTCTACTATATTTTTTTCTCTAAGTATGTGTGTTGTACACCATTAGAAACTGTAATAACTAATAGACAAAAACACTTTTACCATACTTTGGAAAATTAAAGGAAATAAATATTGAAATTTTTTTCATTTCATATGTTTATAAGATTGAAGCAAAAATTTGATAGGGGAGGAGGAACCTAAGAATTTTGGTTGATTAATTTAGAATAGTAGGAAATAGCCATGTGAACCGTATTTACTAGTAGGTATAATGAAAGGGGCATTAAGCCGCCAAGATCCTTATGTTTGATGTTACACAAATTTCCTGCATATTTATTGAGATCATTGTGATTTTCAATTATTTTCTTCAAAATAGTCTCAAAATTATGCCCAATTTTGCATTAGTCACTCCCTATCTGTAAATTGTTTTAAAGGACCTTGTCCATCGAAAAATTCAGCCTCGCCCTAGTTAATTATGATAAAATTCTGGAAGCCTAGTGTATAACTTTTACCCAAATCATACTTCTTGTAGATAGTAGAAGTACAAAATTTTGGTTTGTTGTGCTTTAACGAACAGGGAGGCTGCAGCAACTTTGAGTTTTTGGCTAATTATTCGTATGTTATGCATGAGAATCTTTGCTAATAACATTTGTTCTTCTTGCTTTAGTGTTGGTTTGAACTGAAAGATACAATTGATTCATGTGGAGTCTTAGAACAGATGCATGCATAGGAACATGTAAGCTTCAAAATCTAAAGCACATCTGCATATCTTCCTGGTTGAATATTACAAGTTAAAGATAGTGCAGTTCGTTTAGAGACTTTTCAAAGGATAACAATGGACTAATATTCTTCTGGTACATTATTACATTGCCTTTGTGCAATTCTGAAATTGTGCTAGTGATTGAAAAATTCAGTACTGAAATTGCAACAGGGAGACTTAATGGAAGAAAAGACAAAACTCCAACAGCCCTTTTTGTCTTCATCATCCTCATTTTCTTCTTCCATGACTTCCAAAGGAATCAAGCTGTCTGAAAGTGCATTGCAGTTGTCCCTGGAGCCTGAGAATCACCAAAATGGTAAGATAGAAGTGACAGCAGCAGTTGATGAGGGGAAGTCAGCCCAAAAAAATATTGGAAGTAACAAAAGGAGACCAGGGGAATTCAAGAGGAGCATATCAGACCAGTCACTTCTGGTCCAAAGGTGTGCTAAAAGGAAGCGGCTTAAAGCAAAGGCTGATTTGTATGCGATGCCCAAGGAACTAGGTGTCACATATAAGAACAATGCATCAGACAAGAAAGAAGAGAGAATAGGCGATTATTCGAGTACTGAATCTGAAGAACTAGAATTCAGATTGGAGAACAGAATGCACTTCTTGGAAGGGGCAGAAGATTCAAGGAGAATAATGCAAGGTGCAGATTTTGATTTTGAGAGTTTACCTGAACATGTTAGAAGGTGTATGCAGTATTGCTCCTTGTTTCCAACAAGCTATGAGTTGGAGAAAGATCAGTTAGTCCAATTATGGATTGCAGAAGAGTTGATTGATGTAGAACTTACAGACAGGATGGAGGATGCTGGAAAGGTATGCTTTGACATTTTAGCAAGTAAGGGGTTCATAGTTCCTTCAAGCTATGACAATCTTCATCGCAAGCAGAAGTATAAAGTGAATGAATCTAAAATTTTGTACTGGTGTCAAAAAGCAGTGCTATCCAGGGGTCACTATCTGAGAATTGAGGATCAACTAAGTGTCCCCTCTGAAATGCCACTTCACTTGTCTTTGGACATGGAGGAGTTTGATTCACTGACATTTGAGACTCTCAAAATTTTCAAAGACCTACACACACTATTATTACTTGGTGATTATGGCTCCTCAATCAAGGAAATACCTCGTGATCTTTTCCTTTGCCTAAAGAGTTTATATACTTTAGATTTGAGCAGAACCCAGATATCGGAATTACCAAGTTCTGTTGGGTGTTTGGAGTCACTACATTATCTTGACCTCTCGTATACACCTATCAAAAATTTGCCTGAATCCGTTGGTTCTCTTTACAGTTTGCAGACACTAAATCTTCGAGGTTGTTTTGCTCTTCATGCAGTACCTGAGGGAATAAGTGAGTTGATCAATCTGAGGCATTTTGAATTGGATATAATCCGCCAATTAAACTGCATGCCCAGAAACATGGGGAATCTGAGAAGTCTTCAAACTTTAAAGGCATTTATGGTTGGAAGAGATGATGGATGCAACATTGGAGAGCTCAGGAATCTGAACAATATTGCTGGATCATTCTGCATTGCAGGGCTTGAAAATGTTGCAAACATCGATGAAGCTAGCAAAGCTGGTTTAAGTATGAAGCAGTACTTAAAAAAGCTCGAATTGAGATGGGGAGATCACAGGTTTGATGAGGCTTCACCAGAAGAGGAAGTCTTGGAATGTCTGCAGCCACATAATAGCATCGAAGAGTTACAGATACAATTTTACAAGGGTAAATTCTTTCCAAGCTGGATTGGCAACCCATTGTTTACTAATGTTGTCAGCATTACCCTCTACAGGTGCATAGAATGTCAAGTTTTGCCCTCTGTCGGGAAATTGCCCTCACTCAAATATCTGAATATTGTTGGATTGGATAGTGTGCGAGATACAAATGGCCTGTTTTGTCGGAATGTTACAACTGGAAGCCAAATATTATTTCCAAAGTTAGAGAAACTGACACTTGACAACATGCCTAACCTTCAACAGTTCACTGGAGCAGAAAACGGTGACTTCCCAAGCCTAGTTCAGGTTTATATAAGATACTGCCCAAACCTTTTTGAGATCTCATCCGTTTTCCATCTCAAAGTCCTCCAATATCTCGAGATAAGCTACTGCATTAAGCTGCAGTCTGTGCCTGAAGGAGGTTTGCCAGCTTCAATTGAATCACTGGTAATTACAGGTTGCCCTGGTATAAAAGAACGGTGCAATAAGAATGGAGGAGAAGACTGGTACAAGATAGCCCACATTCCTAGCACATGGATTGATTATGAACAAATATCTCGAAATATAGTTTCTGTTGTTCACAGTGTAAAACACGAAAATGAAAGTCATTTTGTCAATGAATGATTTCCATTCAATAAAGCTGAACCTGCAAGTAATATAATCTTTATATTCATGCATTTAGTTAAACTAGCTTGAGTTATTCGATCTATATATAAACCTGCCAAACTAAGTTACCAATAGTTTCCCTGTTTAAGTCTTTCATCCTTTTAAAACCTGAGCCTCTAGATTTTAGGATTGCAAATAGATTCACAGCATCTCAAAACTAATCTTGGTCCATTCTGAGGGGAACTTTAGTACGACAACTATCCACAGAATCCAATTCCACACAGATACTATGTTGAAGAAATGTTTGCACTTGATAAGTCAGTGCACTCTGGATAAGATATCTGATTCTTGCTGTTCATTTCCAACAGATTCAATCAACTTTGCCATTTTTGTAAAGCATCAATCAGAAATCACTGAAATTAAGAAATTTAAATTCATTGCAGACAAATAAGAACATGTGAAGATTGTTGTAACGGCAAGTTTGCATCTGATAATGAACATTTGAACCAACACGGTACATATATCTCCAGTAGTAGATTATAGGAGTAATAAATGTCCAGATAAAGATAACAGTAGAGGTGGCAATTTAGATCGAGATCCATTTATCCATCCATATAATCCATAATTAAATGGATTTGGATTATCCATTTATAGTATTGGTTTTAAATGGTTGACCAAAGTAAAATCATTAAATTAAATGGATTTATATGGATTATCCACAAAAACCACATATATCCATTTACTTAAAAACCAAATGAAAGAAATGAAAGAAAATGACTAAAAAAAGGAGCTATCCTAAAATGGAGGCGACCGAATCTGAGCGAACAAATATATTTGTAGCTTTGAAAGAACCTGCTCCGTGGCTTCCTTCTATTATCTTTAAGAAACGATATAAAGCAAACCCATTACTTTTTCCCACCGATATCAATTCGCTATCTAACAAATTGGACTTATTCATTTACTGGTGTCTTATGCTGCTCAATGTTCTCATTTTTTAAACCAGTGATAATTAGGTCTTGGTTTCATCAATCAGGTCTTGCCTTCATTTGTCCTCTTTCTCATCCAAATACACCTAAAATTTACAAGTACATAAAAAAGTATCTTCATATTACAAGAAATGGTAATACAAAAAAAAAGTAACAAAAATATTTAAATGGATTATAAATGGATAATTGATTTTTATTTAATCCATTTAGATCCATCCATTTAGATCCATTTCCATTTAGATCCATTTAAATAAATGGATTTAAATGGATCTAAATGGATTGGATAAATTTCATCCACCATCCATTAAGTCAAAACCAATAATGAACCATATATCCATATTGCCACCTCTAGATAACAGCCTTGAAAATAACTCACTGAAGCTCAATCACGTTATCTCAATCTTCCCAGTCCTTTCTTTTTGAAGGAAGTCTTCTGTGTTGTCCTTTAAAAAAGATATAACATTGTTCCTGGTGAACACTATGTGCAGTTTCAACTTGATGACATGAATTATCACCAATGAATTCCTTCAACTGCAAACTTATCCTTGCCTTTTGCAATTGCCTATGAAAATTGGGATGAACTGATAAGTATGTATGGAGAACTGATAGAAGAACAGAACATAGATCAGTGTGCGCTTGATGCCTACTGATGCTTATTTGAAATCATTTCAGATGAATGTTACTGAAAGTTGATTCAATTATGCGCCAATAATTAATGGAACACACCATGCAATGAGCACGAAAGTCAGTTAAAAGCAATTTCAGCTACCTCAGATTCTCCATGCATTAACAGGTAAACTGCAATTGGAGTATTGCATACCTTGCTGCCTAAAATTTACTGAAATTGCTACAGCTGAACAGCAGCTCCCCAAAGTGAAAGTAGATACACTAAGTAGATACACCAGAATTTAAGTCCCTTGGCTTTCACAAACTACCATTTGGACCAATCTTGCGCTGATCTGATGGCTCCATTTTTGGAGCATTGTTTTGTCTGTCATTGTCTTGATAAAACCACATACAACTTTGGAACCCTTTCCGAACCCCCTGTTCGTGCACAAACAATAGATCTTACGCAGTGAAAGTATCATGAACATGTAAACTGATGATGACTGAATTTTCTAGACTAATACAATATACAAGATGTGGACATCTAGGACCTGTCAGGTACATCACCTTAGTGATTAACACAGTGTGCTTTCGTCCTGTTCTTGATTATCCTCATTAATTTGAGTTATTCGACTTCAAAACTGCAGGGAAAGCAAAAACTAATAAACAGCTCAATTTAAAAAGAAAGCCATGTGCTGACAAGAATCCAGTTTGATGTTTGATAACATCCCACCAACCCCCTCCTCCCCCACCCCCTAAAAGAAAAAAAGAGAAAACAAATTGGAGACATTTTAACTGGACCTGAATCAAGAGAGGAGCATCAACTAGGTTTGTTAATGGAAAAAAGTCATCAGCAATGGAACAGTTAAAGCCTTTATAAGAAGCTGTAGAAAATATTAAATTGGACAGAAGGAAGCATGGCTGATTTTAAATCCAGTAATTGTACTGAGAGTTGTGCATTACGTATTCACACACAACGTATCCATCTATGGCTCCAGTTACTAATAACCCCAAACAGAACTAGTAACATGATAGGGTAAAATTTCCAAGTTTTACAGTGAACAAATCTATTTGAAGCAAGAAAGTAAGATACACCTAAAGCTGAAATGAGAACTCATGTCCCATGATATAAGCAACACAGGGAAAAAGGACAAAACTAAAACTGACTACCAGTCTCGATCCTTGAGCTTCTTGGATGCTCCAGATATGCCACATACCTTGTGCTTGTATTTATTGCATCAGTTTTTTCAGCACCAGTTCCTTCGATGAGTTGCTCTTTTCCTCACCTGTCATTTGCCTTTGGAAAGAGAGCATAGAGAGGTATGGAAACAGAGAGAATACATTGGGTTAGATAGGAAAGCTTATGCATTATTAATTATACCTGCATGAATCTTCTGCAATTGCAATGAGATATTTAGTTAGCTGTCCAGTGGTGCTCCTCTATACTGCTTTTTGAATTTGTGGATCATGAAAAGTGATGTATACCTTAAGTAGTATTAATTGCTTTCAAATTATTTCCAGTGTATGTCAGTGCAAGGGATTGAAGAGTAACCAGAATATCATTATTCACATAGTCTTTTCAAGCTTTCACCAATAAAAGCTAAACAGAAGCGCGAGTATCTTTGTTTGAGCTTACATCTGATAGGTATACATGTTAGTGTAGACCGCCTTGTCTGCATACAGTTTACCATTCTTTGATCATTATTCCCTCCAACAATGAAGAATACACATTAATAATAAAACAAAACACAAAGAAGAAAAAAACATGCACTAGAAGTTTGGATATGGAGGGGAGAACAGTGTGGAAGACGCAGGGAGAAACTGAGATAAGAGGATAGAGTTGAAGATGCTAGAAAAGAAAGAAATAGAGAAAGCATTTAGGATATAAGCGCAGGAATACATGTATTATGTGGCACTAACCCTGAGTTTACATTTTTAGTTTTCCTTGGAAAGAAGATGAAGCTATGATGCCAACCAAGGTATTAGGCTCAGTTTGCATAACCAGTAAATCAGATATAACAGTGCCTTCATTCAACTAAGATAAAAAAATGAATTTCAATAGTTCTTCAAAGCATGAGATTAATTATGAGCATCAATTAGGATCAGCAAACTGTATCCCTTCTCATGGAGTCCACGAAATGCATGTTATGTCATTTGGGGAACTTACACAACCAAGTGTGGGAGAAAAAACAAACTACCATTCCTGATTCCAGCAAGGGGTTGTTGTATATTCAACTATGTTATAACGAAGTTTGACTATGAGTTTTGCAGGTGAATAACTTGAAGGAAAAAAATTAAACTGCTTCTGCTGATTAGGCGACAACATAATACCACAGATCAGATATAAGAGGATGTTCAATTGATCTCACCTGAAATTTCGCAAGAAGAACCTTTTTCCTTCAAATGTTAAAACCTTAACAGAGCAGGAAGATCTACAAAGTTTCTACTAGAGGTGGACAGAAGGTTGCAGAGTGGGAACACATTACAGCAATGAGCAAAGACTTCTGGTTTGTTCTCTGTGCGAATTAATAAAAGCATTTAGTTATTTATTTGTTCAGGAGTTAGAAGCTGAGTGACATCAGACATGAAAATGTGATCGTGCTATTAGGATGAGATGATCTAACAGAATGCTGCTCTACAAGCAAATTGTCAATGGTTCTCTGTGCAGCCTACGACCATTTAAGATTGCAGAATGCTTCTTGAGTTTGATATGCGTTGCAGCTGTTTTATGTTGTTTTTCCAAAAGGAGAATGTTTTCAAATCTTCCACAATCTCATGCATATTATGCGATTTAAAATTATGAGAAAACTATTAAAGGAATCTGGTAGACTTGTTACCTCATATGCCAATGGTAGCACTGACATCTAGTTTCCGGCAGGCAAGACCACTCTTGAGACAGACATGGTTAACACAAATTGTTTACTGGTTCTCGTGACACCATTAATTCCCTTGGATGGCCTATTTACCAGACCACTAAGTTGTGATTCTGAAGATTATCTCGATATATCATCTATATCTGCCCCTAAAGGATATTAGTAACCAATATTTCATCAAGTAAAACCAGAAAAGCGATGCTGGAGAAAGCCACAGTAAGTCTGATTAGTTAAGCGGAACCACACCTACTCATAATATTCAAACAACACCAGCAGTCTAGTTAATGGCATTAGACTTGTAATGAAGTATGTAGTATACTAGAAAAGAACCCTTTGAGATTATCATTTTCGAAACATTTTTTTAAAATTGTTTGGCAATATCCATGTGTAGTGCTAGGAAAGGACCATTTCTAGTTGATTTGCATAATTTGTGAATACTTAACTATGTTGCTGTCAGGAATTCAACAAACTCCGATCTAACTAGTGGAAGATACCCAGTTTTAGACCTAAGAATTTAGGCTTCAACTTCTAATATCTTTAACTACTAAACTATCTTAGCATGATCTACACCTGGTGAACTGACTGAAACCAAGAAAGTCAATCAAGTAAGTAGCCTGCAATCATTATGCCAATGAATCTAAACATGTGGCTTTCCATATTCATAATTAATGGAATTTTAACTTGTTAAAACCGATGGTTTTACCTTGACAAGAAGAAAGCATGCTGGCTAAAATTTGCAAACATGGGAGCATTGAAAATGCTTATTAAACAGATTTCACACATTGCAATATGTTGAGATTAAGAAAGATCCACAGACAGTGTTGCCTCTTTGACACACTGTAATGCAGCAAACAAACTCAAAACTTGAGTTATTAAATTTATAATTGACATAGAACAAGGAAAGAGTTTACAATATATTTGTCAAATATAAATATAATGTATTTGTCATCTACTATTTAGCAACAATGTGCACATTCAAATGTATGCCATCGAATAGGTTCAGCTCACAATTCCTTTCAAAGCAGAACCACTTCTTCTGAAGTGCCATAATCTTTGATATTTTCTAGATGAACTCAGTCAATCTCTTTGCACTGTAACTCATCAATCAAACCACTGAAAGGAGTGTACATTTCCACTCTGCAAAGAGCAATAGACTTCCATGTCAAAAGGTTAAAATAATATGATAATGTAAGTTAAACAAAGATATTGCTGTGGAATGTAGAGTTACCAGAACAGTCTGCAGAGTGTCAAATTTTGCTGCCCCTCCTTGTAGAACTGTGCTGCTGCCTGTTTTGCCTCTTTTTCCTGCTAAAATTCATTTAGTTATGCATAAGCAAAGATCTGTTGACTTTTGTGCTCTTTCTAGTTCAAACCAAGCAAGACTTTTTATTCCACTACAATCTTTATCTTCAATAGCTGTCACCCATGGAAATGAATTGTCATGAAACGACCAATTTCTGGAAATATTCGCAAGCAAAATACTTCGTCTCATAATTTGAGCAGTTATTCTTGAAAGGAACCTCAAAACTGAAAACTAAACAGTACTGATCAATTGCTCATGTTTCTTTAAGATTATGTTAATATGGATAACTTAATTTATGATGTAACCTGGATTTGACTTCCAAAATCTCTACTTTCAATAGAGATTTTGTAATTAATTTCGAAGGCAGTCATAGTGAACAAAATATTAAGAACAATTCTATCCACACTAACTCTTAACTACCACAAATTTGACATAACATATTCTAAAGGGTGCTTAAGAAATGAAAATTGAAGCTTCTATAAAGAATTTTTTTTATCACTGTGGAGATGTGCCTACCAACCACTAGAACCGTTGTAATTTCTTTGATAATTTTAATACAGGTGTAGACAACAGGCACAAGCCATTAGATATTTTCACCTTTGATTCATAGGGAGCAAAAGCATAAAGCAATAGCACTTTCTCACTGTTTCTTAGAAGTTTCTCACTCACTGCTGCTATAAGATGACAGTGAGTGTGAGCCACTCCTTGCATAGTCATTGCAGTTGCCACTGTATTCAGAATTGAAAGGTAACTTGTTACAAGTTACAAGTTACAACTGAAGTGCTGATGTCATTGATGATCACTTGGCAGACATTGAGGATAGGCTCACCAGTCAGTTTACCTGTTTTCTAATTGGAATGTCACTCCCTCCAATTATACACTATTAAAACTATGAACTCTGACATCCACTACTGTACTATATGGACATATATGTGTGTGTGTAATGCTCAACAATTTAAAGGAAAATTAATATGAAAATGAATTTAGTCATGCGTTTCCTATTTGGTGACCTTTAATACACCATGCATTATTCAATACTTGGTAAGAAATAGCTGAACAGATCATAAGCTAAACCTACAGATGTGTGTAGGGAAAAGTTTAAGGATCAATGGCTAGGGAATAATTGTAAGGGCAAAATTCTCATGTGGCTTTCAAACTATTACAAAATTTAACATTTGACCCTTCAATTAAAAACTGATAAGTTTTAGCCCTACAACTAATTAAAACGTATAATTCTAGTTCTTCCATCAGCTTGAGTCGTTACGTCAACTTTAGCTATGGGATTCACGATTCCCCAGTGGCCCTCAAACTATTACAAAGTTCAACTTTTGGCCCTCCAACTATTAACTGATAAATTTTAGCCTTCCAACTAATTAAAACGTATAATCCTAATTCTTTTGTCAACTTGAATCATTATGTCGAACATATTACATGTGTAGCAGGGGGCATAATCGAGGGGCATAATCGAGGGGCATTTTCATCTTCATAGGACATGTTCATTAGATTCAGGTTATATTCATCAAATTCAGGCATGTCTGGGGAGATTAAAATGGTGATATATTGCTTCATAGCCATTGCTTGTGTCTTGATTGTGACACTAATGTGCTGCATATTTTTGAGGTTTAGACACAAAAATGGGGACATTGTAGTATACCCCCCTAACACGCATGTAGTAATGTTTCTGATCGACATAACAATTCAAGTTGATGGAAAGACTAGGATTATATGTTTTAATTAGTTGAAGGGTTAAAACTTATCAATTAATGGTTGGATGGCCAAAAGTTGAACTTTATAATAGTTTGAGGGTCATTGGGGGGCACGATGTGCTATTTCTATTAGATATAATGACTTAAGTTGACAAAAGGTTTAGTTAATAGTTGGAGGGTCAAAAGTTGCATTTCGTAATAGTTTGGGAGCCATTGGGACATTTTGCCCTAGTTGTATTGGTTGATTTTTCACATGGAATAGAAAGAGTACCTTCTGCAGTGTATAACGGGGAAAAAAACTGGAACAGATAACATTTATATTGCGCATATCATTAGGAAACAATACTGGGTGCAAAAGCTAACTAGGAAGGGCAGTATAAAGCAATTATCCCTCTAAACTAATTCTGCCAACTATGAAGTAGTAGCAATTCTGAAATGAAAAAGTAAATTGAGGACTTACATGGGATGTTTCGTATTGTTCAAAGGTAGCCATAACCTCCATGAACTGGCTTTCTCTTTTGCTTGCACCATTCGTATCAGGAACATGCATTTCACTGTTGTATAGAGAAAAATTCTGGATTTAACTAACAAAAATTTGCACTTTGCTTCTGACATTTAAAACATGATTCCTTCACTTGACCCGGCTCCCAGACACTCCATGTTACCATCACCGAAGCACTATGAATACAGAGACCAATCAGCCAACCTTAAACTCCATGCACCACTATGGGAATCTCAACATAATCAATCTCTATCTTAGGTATTCTGTTTATCTTGTGCCAATCTTCACCCACATCAGCTCTGCACCTTTCTTTGATGATGGCACTGTCAACAATGATCAGGAGTTGAAGAGACTCTGGTAATCCTTCTTCTGGTAATGCTTGAAGTCTTGGGCAGCTGCCAATGTTTAAATTATGGAGGAAATTGAGGTTGTGAAGTGATGGCAAACTGGTTAGCCTTGAGCAATTACTCATAGTGAGCTCACGTAGGCAAGGCAAATCATCTCCATTCAATCCTCTCCATGTGGTCATATTTGGCATGTCCTGGAATATTAGTGACTCCAGTGATGGAAACCCTTTAATACTACCGAAGCCACAAAAATGATGGTCAACATGCACCAAACCAGCCATATCTTCAATACAAAGAAATTTGAGGAGTGGAAGTTGCCCAAGAGAAGGGAGAATTGAGCAAGACAGACAGCTATGAAGGTGAATATTTGTGAGCTTGTACACTGGATTACTTATCCAACTAGGAAACATGACACCATTGTACCCTGATATAGATAACTCCTTAAGGTTCTCGTGAGGTTGAAGGCCTGCAAGTACTTCTTGCTCATCTATTTTATCCCCGAGGCAGTTCCATTCCAACTGAAGTTTTTTAAGGTATGGTTTCTTGAATAAATTTGCCTCTTTTGCTTCCATTGGCCTCAGCACATTTTCAAGATTGGTAATGCACAATGATCCTCTTAGGAATCTCATATTCTTCAACTCTATGATACCACAGCCTCTTGCTCTCCCCACAATAAATGCACTAAGTGTTTGGAGGTTGACTAAATTTCCAAAACCTGATGGCATGTAGTTTAACTGATGCTTTACATCCAAGTCAAGATGTCGAAGGTTAGTCAGATTCTTCATGTTTGTTGGAAGTTCAAAAAACTCAAAGCAACTTTTGAGCTTGAGGGTTTGTAAAGCTAAAAGGTTTGAAGTTGGTTCAGGCAGCTTTTGGATGTGGTTTTCAGAAAGGTTAAGGTAGCGAAGATGTTTCAAGCGATCAATGGAACTAGGAAGTTCATCAATGCCCATATGGCTCAAGTTCAACACTCTCAAGAATTGAAGTTTCAAAAATAGTTCGTAAGGAACTTGTGAGACACTGGTATCATTCGTAGACATTATTAAAGTTCGTAACTGCCTAAACCAAGTGAAGGCCTTTGGCCCAACTGATTGGACACTTTCATGAGAGAGGGACAAATGACGAGCATTGTTAAATGCTGGAGGCCAATGTTGTATATCCTCCTCCAGGCGAAAGCATGTATTTGCAGAAATTAATTGTGCCATACAGTGAATAAGCTCGTGCATTTTGTATATTGACTGGTTGTGTAGGTTAACATGTGAAAATTGAAAGAAGGACCTCCAGATTAATTCACTGAAAAAATCATTACCAATGTCCTCCAGTCTCATTTCTCCTCTAGGTTGGATGAACCCTTCTCCCACCCACAGCAGGACCAACTCTTCCATTTCAAACTCATGATTTGGGGGGAAAATGGAGCAATATGCAAAACATTTTCTCAAACGTGTAGGAAGGAAATGATAGCTTAGTATTAAAGCAGAAAAAATTTCACTTTGATCCTGCGGAAGCTCCCACATCTTACTGTTTAAGACGGCATTCCACCCCTCTTCATCAGATCTGAAACGAAGTATGCCTCCAAGAGATTTCGCTGCTAAAGGCAGTCCTTTGCATTTCGTAGCTATTTTTCTCCCTATTTCTTCCAAATTCATTTTCTCCCTTTCATCCTTACTTGAGAATGCTCTTTGTTTCACCAATTCCCAACAGACCTCATCATTCAAACTTTGCACACTATATGCTGGAATTGTACCAAGAATTGATGACACTATAGTGCTTCGAGTTGTTACAATAACTTTGCTTCCTTGGCGTCCAACTCTTAAAGGTGAACATAAAGCATCCCAATCCCCATATTTCTCAGTCCAGTAATCATCTAAAACTAGAAGAAACTTTCTCCCAAATAGTAGATTTTGAAGTTTAGACTGAATGGGATCTAGGTCAGACAACTTGCATTTTTTTCCAGTGAGGGATTCAACAACTGACTTACTTATCCGGATCAGGTCAAAATTGATAGACACAGAAATCCATATTCTGTATTCGAAGTTCTTCAATATACGGTCATCATTGTAAACAACTTGAGCAAGGGTCGTCTTGCCAATCCCTCCCATACCCACTAGAGGAATCACAGATACATTGCCCCTATTGGATTCAGTCATCAATAGCATCTGGATGATATCCTCTTTGTCCTTTTCTCTTCCAACTACAAATTCTTCATCAACCAATGAACTTGTAGCACAAAAGTTATTATTAAGTGGGGTATGCATCTTATAAGATCCCACTGCAGATAACTTACTTAGGAAAAGACTATCCATTTCAGTTGAAATATGTTCCAGTTCTTTCCTTATCTTACATATCTCATGGGGCACTGACAATTTAAAAGATGACAAGAGGTTGCTGCGTACCAGGTTGCTATTATTAGCATCATCTGAATTGTCAGCATGTACCCTCGAAATATCCAGCGAGATCTCATCAAGTAGGTCATCAGCACAATATGAGAGCTTCTCCAGATCAACAAGCCACATCTTCCAGGCTTCGTTGCTGCTGTCGTTGATCAGACTCAGATGATTGTTCTCTACATTGTCCAGAATAGCTCTAATTCTTTGGAGTGTTCTCTGCAGCCTTCTCAGTTCATCATCAACTCCCAGAATCAAGCTGGTTTCCCTCACAGCAAAATTAGCAATCTTCTCAAGAACAACTTGCAAGGAAGCTGATGCAATACCAGATTGAAATGCAGATTCCATGGACAAAATATTACAAACAATGTGCTCAACAAAGGGAAAACAATGGCTTGTCTCAAGTATAGGAATAATTCCTTCAAGTCTGATCCCTGTTTAGCCAAAAGGTCAACATTCTGGTTCCAAGTCAAGGAGGACTCAGAAGTCAGAAGTCTTTGTGATGATGCTTCCTAGCATAGTTATAAAATTCGGTCCGGCCCGACGGTCGAACCGATCAACCCGGTGTACCCGCCAGTAGACCGGGCCGGGTTCCTAATTAGATCGGTTAAGCACTAGAATCGTTGACTAGTCAACGATCCAGTGGTTCAACCGGATTAAACCGGAAACCCGGCCGGTTTTGTGAAGAAACCGGTTTTGAGGAAAAAGTTTTACAAAGTTGTTAGCTGGATTCGAACCTATGACCTTGGGCAAGGTTTATGACAAGCTCCCCACCAGACTACTTCGTTGCATGTTAATTAGTTATCATTCTTATGCTATATGAATGTTTTATCAATTTTATGTTTATTCTTTTTTATTTCTCCAAAACAAATTTATTTGGAATCATTTAATACAAACTTATGACCACCAAATTCTATAAATTATAAAATAGATTTCAAAAATAACATATTACATAATTTATTTTAAAGACAAATATTGTTTTTAATAATTTTTTGCACTTAAAATTTGTAAGTAACCTAGATAATTACACTAAACATAGATAAAATTTTACACTTAAAATTTGGTGGATCACTAATTAAATTTATGTTTTGATGATTCTTATATAAATTAATTATTCTATAGCAAATTAAATCAAATGAGCATTTGTTATGACATTATTTATTAAAATTTATATCATATATCCTATATAAAAAATTATAAGATATAATATATAAATATATTTAGTGACCCACTGGTTCAACCACTCACCCACCGGTTGAACCAATAACCTGTTGACCCACCTCCTTCGCCGGTCTCCTTTCCGGGCCGGGTTTAATAACTATGCTTCCTAGTTCAGACTCTAAATTCCTGGCCTAGCATTTTCCCTGCTGTCACCACGTGAAATCCCAGAAATCTCCTTGAATAAAAAGAAATAAAAAAATTTTAAAAAAAAATGTCAAAGCTCTTTACTGACATCTAGAGGATTAATTATCTGAACAGTTTTATGTTAAGTCACGTAAGGATTAAATAAGGCTAATTCCTTAGATTATCGTTGAAAAAATAAACAATCGACCGATTGTTGGTCCGAAAGAGAGAGGGTTTTCAGAATTATACCTGTCGTGCTAACTGAACATGAGAAAGATTTGTTTTTAAGTTAACGCTACGAAAAAAAAGGTCTGACAATTCTTTTTTTTTCAAATAGAGTTCCCTGCTAGGCTACGTCAGTTCAATAAGGATGATTCTTTATAAAATAATCTGAAGCTTTTTCTTTTTTTAGAAATTTGTCTCCTGCCAAGCGTACTTTACCTAGCAGGGGCGATTCTTTAAAAAAAAAAAAAAAAAAAAAAGTGCGCCAGCAGCAACATTTTTTTTGTGTGCAGAATGTTGTCCTTTTCTACCCAAAATCTTGAGTTTGTCCTTTCCTACCTCCTCTTAACATCCAAAAACAACGTTTATAATTATCAAAAAAAAAAAAAAACAACGTTTATAAGGTATTCTCAATACATTGTTAAGAAATTGTGATCTCCAAAACGTAAGCGCGTAGGATTTTTCTCCCTTAATCGTTTTCAGAACTTACAATTAAATTTCCGTGCAAACCACCCAGTTTGGCAGCCATAAAGAATCTCAATCCATCTATATTTCTAGAAAACAAAACAAAAAGAAATGATGTGCAACAAAACTTTCTCACAAATGAATGGCATCAAGTGAATATGCTAAAAATTAAATTCATAATCATGACAATTGACATTACACATATTCTTGTATTTCTTGAAAAGCTCGAAAAGAAAAAAGTATGTTTAACTTTAAGCATCGATTTCCATATTTTCATGACAACCATCCAACATTCGTAGAATGCGAATTGAAGGCCAACAATAAATCAACCTTGGAATTGCATTATTAAAGGTAAAGGTCGAGACTCAAAATAAAATATGTAAAGGTCATGAACAACCATTTCCTACACGGCGTGCCATACCTCTGAAGTGACTACATGAAAGGCGTGCCAAACATTAAAAAAAAAAATAAAAAAAATCAAAGAATCATCCCACTAGGACACAGATTTCTGAAATAAAAAAAAAAAACTTCAAGTTGCATTTTAAAAGAATCACTCTATCGGACTACGTCAGCCCAACAGAGAACAACAGTTTTTTTTTTTTTTCAAACTATGACACTTTTTTCTTTTTTTTTTTTTGATAATATGAAACTTTTTTCTTTGCAGTGCCTAACTTTAACATATATATGTGTGTGTAGTTCTTCTGGCCAACATGACAGGTATAGTTTTGGAAACCTCCCTATCATATCAATAATTGATTGATTTTTTTTTCATCGATAATCTAAGAAATTAGCCACAAACTATAGAGTGAAATACTAGTGTGTTAAGAGTATATAAAAAACTATAAAGTGAAATATTGTTACATTAAGAGTATATAAAAATGTAAGACATGAAATGCTTATTAGCCGCAAACTATGGAGTGAAATACTAGTGCGTTAAGAGTATATAAAAAACTATAAAATGAAATACTGGTACATTAAGAGTATATAAAAATGTGGGAAATGAAATGCTTATTGAAAAGGCTAATTCCTTAGATTATCGATGAAAAAAAAAATTGATCAATTGTTGATCTGATAGGGAGTTTCCAAAATTATGCCTGTCATGCTGAAGTGTATATATACATACACATTTGTAAAGTTAGATGCTGCAAAATAAAAAAGTCTTACAGCTTTTTTTTTTTTTCTAGAAATGTAGATGGATTGAGATTCTTTATGGCTGCCAAATTGGATGGATTGCACGGAAATTTAGCTAAAAGTTCTGAATATGATAAAGGAAAATAATCCTATGTGTCTACGTTTTGGAGATCACAATTTCTTAACAATATATCGAGAACTAATTTTGTATCCGTTCGTTGAACGGGAATCATCGAAAAATAATAAATTATTTAGTTAATTTTATAAAAATGTCGATATAAAATAAAAATTTAATGTATAATCTATTATAACTTATCTTAAGTATATTACTATGTACGCATTGTAATATAAAGTATTCTTATAATATAAATTTGAACATCTAATTCAGTGAATAATAATTCAAAAATAGAAAAAATATCATTTAACAATACCATAATATTAAAAAACTTGAAAATAAATAAAAAGTGCAGTAAATAGTGTCAAATAATATTCTATTCTTCATAAACTTGTTTTTGTTTTTCTTCTGTTTGAACACTCTTCTCGATCCATTCGTGCAAATCAGCATTTATTGATTTTCCATTATCACTGCATGATAGCAAAGCAGGATAACTAAGTACTGGAAAAAAATGATTTATCGTATTCAAAGTTATGTATAACAATACGTAAATATTATAATTTAAGAAAGTAAAATAGTATATTAAATCTACTTTCTCATGCAAATCTTTTTATGAGGATTCCCTTCCTCTATGGTTTTTGTTGAACCCTCTGATGAATGATTCATATGAAGTGTATTGAAATGTTGTTGATTAGAATCATCTGTTATACTAATTGGGATATGGGAAGAAAATACTTCAGGTTGGTATTGGTTGTCGGTTCCACCAATCTGATAATGATTTATCAAAATTAAAGACAAAAATATTATGTGAGATATAATATGTGAAATATAAGAGAAATTTATTGCACATTACCTGTGAAAGCATGAAATGCGTTTCCCTCCCGAAATCACAGTGGAACCATCTAGTCACTGTAAATCTATTACTACCTTGTTCTAGATTGTAATTGTTCAACTTGATTTGGAATACAAAAGATTTCCACGTAATCTTATTTATAATTGATGATACGATTTTACTGCTAAATCTTTCATGAAAATGAAATGCATAATAGATTTTTTTTTTTTTAGAATATTCAACGGTTAAGATAAGTGTCGGATTGTCTACTATTATTAAAAGAGTAAATCTTTCCTACACTGACAGTATATACACTATCATCGTTGGATTCATGACATGTGTGCAAAAATTGAATTTCAAATTCAAATTTTGCATAGTTGTCATTCATCCAATGCTGATAGTGTATACACTGTCAGTGTAGAAAAAATTAATCCTTATTAAAAATATTTTTAAAAATTAGATATAAGTTTACCTTGTTAAATTCGTCAAGAACAAAAGAAAGTTTGTGTTTTATTATTCTTTCAGCCTCTTGATCAAATATAACAAACCAAGCACTACCGGTTGCATCACTTGCCAAGACTTTTAACATATACCTATATAAATACACATATTTTAAAAGTTATGTTTATCTAGATATTGTAACAATTAAAATGATAAAAAAGTTAACATTTTCTTTATGGACTTTTTCAGAAATTTTCAATCAGATGAAGTGCCATTTCTCTTTGTACATCAATTATGCATGGGGACTGTGAGTCTTGTAAAATCTTTCTTGGGCTAATTTTCTTTAATTTCCATGTCTAGATTGTTTGTACGTTGTTCTATATACAGGTAGATTATCTTAAAATAAAAAGAATGTATGATGAAGCTGTAAAAAAATAAATAAAAAAAGGACACTATAAAAAATATATATTATGATTTATTCCTATATATCTAATAGAGGAGATTTATGTCTCTTTTATTTATATCGAATTACTTTTTAGTTCCTTTTTTGGGTAGGAAATATGAATCATATAATTTTAAGAATTCTTATAGGAAATAAGAATTGATATACATCCAAACAAAAAAGTAGCAAGCCACGTAGGAAACTACTTGCCGTCTCATTAAACCACGTAGGAAAGAGAAAATGCGAACGGATAAGTATGAGAATTCGACTTTATTATATATATATATATATATATATGATATCTTCGAAACGCTATCTTTGGATATTAAGAGGAGGTAAAAAGGGACAAACTCAAGTTGTTGAACAGAAAAGGATAACATTTTGCACAAAAAACAAAAATTTGGTGCCATAGGCACACTTTTTTTTTTTTCAAGAATAGCCCCCATCGAGTAGAGTAAGCCTCG